TCATATACTTATATATATAAATAATATACTTATATATTGCCATATATATACTATATAAAAGGATAGATATTACATTAAACATATACTGTATACACCACACACACAGCACACACACAGCCATACACCTGGACTAACCGAGAGCACAACACGAGTCGGCAGCAACACACACACACACACAGCACATATATAATACCATATAGTATATATATATATATATATATATATATAATATGTAATAATATATATAATATATATATATATATAATATATATATAGTATATATGTGCGTGTGTGTAGTTGGTGTGTGTGTGTGGGTGATGTATAAAGGTATTGTATATATATATATACATTGATAAATATATAAAATATATATATATATATATATATATATATATATATATATAATGTATGTATATGTATGGTATATATATAAAGTATGTATATATATGCACATTTAATATAATATTATATATATATATATATATATATATATATATATATATATATACTATATATATATAATATATATATATATATATATATGCACACACACACACCACACCACACATACACACACGCACACACACACACAACACACACCACACACACACACACACACACACACAGTACACGTGTGCGTATTGTGAAGTTAATATTCCATGTGGAAACATCACGAAAATAATTACGTTGCTTCTGTGTTTATCATGATTTTATTGGTCCATCGGACACAGAGCACCAGCGAGACAGCAGCCTGGAAAGACTGATGACTGCCATTCGGAAATCTGACGTTGGTGAATAGAATGTACTCTTTACGTGATGATAAAAAACGTGATTTTTAGAAATTACTAATGTACAATGTGAGACATCAATTACGATTATCAAATTATGAAATTAAGTATTCTAGAGATCACTTCGAATCTACAAGGTATGGCATTAATGTTCAAATCAGTCTCTTTACAAATTTAGCTGATTAATTACTCTAAAGCAATCTCCCTCAAAGAATGTGTTACAGTGTGCATCAAGGAGAGTAAAAAAAAATCAAAATGCTGCAAAATCACATTTAATCTACTAGAACCACTTTTGGAACTGATACATGGGGGAGACACAAGGCTGTAACTAACTTATAAGGTAAAGGATAACTATCGGACATCCTCTTTATGAAAAGCAAAATGATTTGTTGATATACGTACATATATAGATACATACATGCATGTGTGTGTGTGTGTGTGTGTGTGTGTGTGTGTGTGTGTGTGTGTGTGTGTGTGTGTGTGTGTGTGGTGTGTGTGTGTGTGTGTGTGTGTGTGTGTGTGTGTGTGTGTGTGTGTGTGTGTGTGTGTGTGTGTGTGTGTGTGTGTGGTTGGTGTGTGTGTGTGTGTGTGTGTGTGTGTGTGTGTGTTTGAGTATGTGTGTGTGTGTCAGTTTGCTTGTAAGTAAATATTTTCATTCAACGAAATATTTTTTATTTCATTTCTATGTATACTTTTTTTTTTTTTGCATTTGACCTTACTAATGACAGACACTTTACTATATTTTCTTCACGTCGGTGTCTTTCAGCTCATTCCTCGGCCTCGCTTCGGACTCTGTTGCATTGTCGTCTTCGTCAGCGCTGGTTGGAGCCTCATTCCGGGGGCTGGCTCCTCCCGGTGCTTCGTTTACGCTGGACATTTCCCTGCCCTCCTCCATTTCCATTCCCTTGTCCATTTCCATTTCCATTCCCTATCCCCACTCCATTCCCTTGCCCTTGTCCATTCCCATTCCCATTCCCTTGCCCATTCCCATTCCCATTCCCATTTCCATTCCCATTCCCTTGCCCTTGTCCATTTCCATTTCCATTCCCTTGTCCCACTCCATTACCTTGCCCTTGTCCATTTCCATTCCTTGCCCAATCCTTTCCCTTGCCCAGTTCCATTACCTAGTCCTCCATTTCCATTACCTTGCCCTTGCCCAACCCCAGTGCCTTGCCCTTGACCTGCCTCAGTGCCTTGCCCTTGCCCAGCCCCAGTGCCTTGCCCTTGCCCAGTGCCCCCCCCTTGCCCAGTGCCCAGTGCCTTGCCCTTGCCAGCCCAGTGCCTTGCCCCCACCATTGCCCTTGCCCTCTTCCACCCACCGAACAGGCCCCCTAACCCACCGTTCCCTCCAAACAACCCCCCTAGTATACCTCCTCCACCAGTGCCCCCTCCTAATCCCAGTCCACCCAATCCAAAAAGATTCGCCAATCCTCCTAGGAAATTTGTCAGTCCGTTTAACTGTCCTGTTTCTCCTCCGGTGCTGTTGCCATTCCCCCCCAGAGGAACGCCATGATGTTGGTGGTGACATGGTCTGTGGGGGAAGTACCACAGGCGACCAAATCGGTCTGTGGCGGTCCTCTTCTCGCTGGAGTCTTCGTTGGAATGCTCGTCTGTTGGAGGTAAATGGAGGTTGCGTTATCGGTCTCTCTTTCTCTGTCTCTGGCTCTCTCCTTTCCTTTCTCCCTCCTTTCGTCTTTGTAATACGGTCTCTCTTTCGTTCTATTTCTGTATCTATCTTGATATTTTTTATTTATCTTTTTTCTCTCTCTCCTCTCTGCTCGTCTCTCTCTCCTCTCTCTCTCTCTCTCTCTCTCTCTCTCTCTCTCTCTCTCTCTCTCTCTCTCTCTCTCTCTCTCTCTCTCCTCTCTCTCTCTCTCTCTCTCCCTCTCTCTCTCTCCTGCCCGAATTTTGAACGCTCGTTGTCGTGAAATTAAACATAAAACATATTCATCTATTCCCCATTCACACGACCAGTCCGTATTATGAAACAGTGAACATCTTTTAGAACTAGCTTACCAGACGTCGGAGAAGAGGCATCGTATTCATCTGTCAAATAGAATAATGTCGCCTTTACAAAGAAAGTAATGAAAAAACGAACTTTGGCATATTTTTTAGGATAAGATGTTAAGAAAAATGTACAAGATTTCGTTCATATGCACGAGATCAACATACTAAATTACTAAAACAAATTCTTAAATTCTTACCCTCTTCCCGGCTTATACTCGCGCCATGTACTGATATATCTGCAAAAAGAGAGTAAGTTTTAGTGAAATGTAAAAATTACTTAAAATTGATAAAAACATAGGAAAGAATGTCTTATGTATTATGTATTTTATCACATATATACATTTTACCACATAGGCCTGGCATACTCACAAGACGCTAGAATCAAGCCTGAGAGAAAGAGGAGAGTCTTCATCGTCGAGGAGCTGGCGGTTCTGAATAGGAAAAGAGGTATTCATAATTTTACTATGACCTCTATTATCCTTGAGGTTATCATTATCATCATATATTATCCTTGTTTCTGTCAGTTTTCTTTTACTGACACTTTAAAACCGGCGTTCAATAGTCACAATCCTGAAAGATTCTCGTCATGAAAATTACAGTTCCAGCGCCATCATATTGCTGAGTGAGAATCTACACTTTCCTCATCTCCACTCCACTTTTTTTTATAGATTTGCCACAATGAACTGCCCATCGTTACTGTAATTGTCATTCAGTATTCGTTGCCGTACTTAACCTCAAAACAGTGGAACGTCAGCAGTCTACAGACGTTATACGATCATCCATCGCGAGTAGAAACACTTCGAAATACCAACTTACAAGTGTTCATTAATCGTCAATAGTCGTAAAAGTGTAGCAAATACGCAAGGCAATATTTTTCTCTTGGCTGACCCTCTTACACTCATGCTCTCAGCACAATAACGATATAAATCAAACGGGTCGTAAAATATGAGCATAGATTCCTTACCCAGAGTTTGAGCGTTTTTCTCACGGGTTCGATCTCGAGCTCTGCCTTCTATGAAATGACGATCAGATAACGAATAAACTGTTTATTATGTACGGTTTGCGTTACGCTAAATGCGTTTTTCCCCTCTTTCCCCAGGCATGCAGTGTCATGTCCGCCTTCTGTTTTGACAATGGACACGTATAGGTTTGAAGCGCGGTACAATAAGTGTGGTTTAAACATTTTTTGCTTATTTTAAATTGTTAATTGTCAGTCGCATAGTTTCCAAATTCATGACCTTGGGGAAAAAAGTGAAACAATTGGATTTTTTATTAGTATTTTTTGCCGTATGACGTGACATGATGATTGGCGAAATCCTGTTTCGAAGCAATGTGAAACACCTGTCCTAAGAGACAAAGCATTCTGTCGTGTATCCTGTGGTCCTGGAAATATTTCTGACAGCAATAATATTGCAGTCTGCATTGCTGAACAAAATACATAATGTAAAAGTATTCACCAAACTATTGTTCGTGATGGACAGGAGTAAATGTGCAATCAGTTAATCTCTTTCTCTCTCTCCCCCTCTCCTTCCCTCTCTCTCCTTCTCCTTCTCTCTCTCCCTCTCCTCTCCTCCCTCTCTCTCCCCTCTCTCCTCCCTCTCCTCCCCCCTCCTCCCTCTCCCCTCTTCCCTCCTCTCCCCATTCTCCTCTCTCTCTCTCTCTCTCTCTCTCTCTCTCTCTCTCTCTCTCTCTCTCTCTCTCTCTCTCTCTCTCTCTCTCTCTCTCTCTCTCTCTCCGAACACGTTGCGCAATACTTTGATTAGGCATAGTATAACTAGCGGTGCTCTTGATACCTCTCCAGGTATTTACACGATTCCTTGCAAGTATTGCCTGGAATTTTACATAGGCGAAACTGGCAGAATGAAAAAAGAATCAATGAACATAGATGTGATGTAAGATACGCCAGAGAACCAAATGCTTGTTTTATTCATTTACGTGACGAAATACATGTTAAATTGGAAAGACGCCATATTAATTCATGGTTAAATTCGTACGAGAGAAAAAGAATTGAAACCCTTCCAATTACAAAATTGCCTAATCT